TCCAGTTTTGCCTACTTTCGGTCATTCTCCAGCACCATAGGGTCATTACTTTTAATATATTCTGGGGAGTTTATAGTTGCTTTGGGGGAAGGAAGATCTAAGAGGAGCCATTCCTCTATTTCCAGAACCACTCGGCATATTTTACTTTTTACCCTGAAATAGCCACAAACTGGAAACAGCTCAAATGTCCATTAACATGACTGGAGGAACAAATTGTGGTACATCTACATCATGGACTACTACCCAGCAACAAAAAGGAATGGACAACGGATACATGCAGCAACATGGAGGAATTAAAAGTAATTCTGCTAAATGTAAGAAGCCAAACAAAAAAGAACACATACAGTGAGATTTCATTTACATAAAGTTCTAGAAAATAGAAACCTCTCTAGTGACAAAAGAAGACCAGTGGGTGCCTGAGGAGGTGAGGACGGGAAGGGGTTGGTGGGCAGGTAGGGAGAGATTATGAAGGGCAAAAGAAAACCTGTTTGGGGGGGTGGTTTCACACGCGCATGCATTCATCACACTTGTTGAATTATAGATAGTTGGCCTTTCATGGCTGTGGGTTCAATATATTTCCAAATATTCAGGGGAAACAATTCCATCTGTCATAAACACAAACAGACATTTTCCCTTGTCATTATGCCATTAAAAAAGAGCATAACAACTATTTCACAGGGGTTTTGTTTTGTTTTGTTTTTGGTACCGGGGATAGAACTCTGGACCTTGCACTTGCAAGGCAGGCAGCAGAACCACTGAGCCAAACCCCCAGCTCACAGTGTTCTTATTGTATTCGGTATTATCAGTAATCCAGACATGATCCAAACTCTAGTAGATGATGCCTGGGGTTACATGCAACCCTTTCATATAAAGGACTGTGTGCTCTTTTATACTAGGCATCGTCAGAATTTGGTTAGGGGTGGAAGGCGGCCCAGGAACTAATTCCCAGAGCATGCTGAAGGATGATTGTAATTTAAATATGTGCAGTTTATTGTATGTCAAATATACCATGATAAAGCTATTAAATATCAAATACTTTGACGTAGCAGCAGAAGAGAAAGAGTCTCTGGCCTCAGATTAGCTGTGTGGGAGTTGTGGAGGTTTCTTTGGTGGAGGAAGTTTTCTTCTATCTTTCGCTCTCTCAGTGAAGTATGAAGCAATGCCTTCAGCGGAGAGAGACGAGCTCGCAGTGAGGTACAATAGGCAAGATTGTCTGAAAGCAACTTGAGAACTCATTTGCGTTGCTTAGATGTTTGGCCAGCTGGGATGACATGGGGACACGAAATTCCTCAACTCTTTCTCCCAGCAGGAAGAACAGCACCCACACTCAGTTTCCCAATGGACTAATGACTTCCAATTCTGAGAGACGTAGCTGTAACATTGCATGGGCCTCCAGCTCCGCTGAGGGCTCCCATAAACAGCTGAGCCCATACACTGTGTTCTTCCTCACCCCGAAGGTGGCTGGCATACTGGGAGAGGGACAAAGGGGTGATGAGCTATCCACAAGTGCTGGGCTGGCAGTGGCTCTCTGCCCAACTCCCCTCCCCTTCCCAAAGAGAAGTGGGAGGAGCTTTGGGGAGAGTTGAGAAAGTATGAAACTGAACAGTGGGCAAGGAAGTGGACTCAGAAAGTCTAGGCTGGTTCCTAGGCAGAATTAAGGTCCCACTGGAAGTTGTTGTGTGATTTTTTTCCCCCAGATCTGGTCATTTAAGTGGTAACAGGCACTGAGTGGGTTAAAAGTTGATATTGCCAGACTACCTTGAGAATAGGGGAAACTGGGAAATTTAGAGTATATTACATGCAAAAGTGTAATTATAATGCTTGAGTGGAATTTAAGGTTGGAAAGGAGGGAAGTTAGAACCCGAGAGATCTGATAGACCATTTGTCATTTGTTCAACACAGTTTCCCACCCACTTCCACTGGGAATTGCACATTTTGGTACAGTACTTTGGTACAGGGCCTTTGCACTGAGCTATATCTCTAGCCCTTTTTATTTTATTTTTTGAATTTTGAGACAGGGCCTTGCTAAGTCACTAAGTTGTCCAGGTTGGGTTTGAATGCTGGGATTACAGGAATGTACCACACACATTTTTATTTAATATCTGCCATGAGACAAACAATGCTGCATGGTGGGGATGTAGCTAAGAAGAGGAGTTCATAGTGTCAGGAGCAATGCTGCATAATTTTAGGTTAGCCTAGTTCTCCTGCCTACACCCCAGCTATGGAATTCCGAGACAGAATTCCATTTTGGCCTCGGGTCACAACTGAGACCTCAATGATCCGGTGACGCTGTGATTCTCCAGGACAGGAAACATCCTGAGAGCTGAAAACATCCTGCGAGAAACAAACATCTACTCAGTTCCTCCTTGTTCTTGAACTGTTACAATCTTGTTTACCCGGATGTACTGAACTCTCTGCAAGTCATTTGTTACATTTGTTTCTCCCGATGTGCGGAAGCTGGGGGCTTCCGTCTTTGCCGCCCAGAGCAGCACTGATCAGACCCAAAGCTCAGCTTCTTCTCAGTCTCATTTTTCTACTTTTCCTCTAATTTCCCTTGTGCTGCCGTGGCTTGCAGGAGACTAGGACTTACTGCAGAGGTTCTAGTAACGTGCCCTTTCCCTGTTCCCTACACATAGTACTTGTCTTTTTTTTTAGTGCTGGAGATGGAACCCAGGACCCCGTGCATGCTAAGCAAGTGCTCTGTCACTGAGCTACAGCTCAGGTCCCTGTTCTTATTTTAAAGAAACAACTTGCTGGGTGGTTAAGAGCTTGGATTTTGAAACCACCTGTACCCAAATCTTGGTCTGGCCCAAATAATCAGGGTAGCTGGGCACATTCTTCAACCTCTTTGGGCCTCATTTTATTCATCTTTAAAACCAGTGATTTAAGTAGTGGCATACCTCTGTAAGCCCAACACTTGGCAGGCTGAGGCAGGAGGATTGCCAAATTTGACCCCAACCTGGGCAACTTAGCAAGACCCTGTCTCAAAATAAAAAGTAAAATGGGCTGGACGAAAAGGCTCTGCATTCAATCCCCAGTACTAGCCAGGCAAGATGGCGCATGCCTGTGACTCCAGCACTCAGGAGGCTGAGGCAGGAGGATTACCTCGAGTTCGAGACCAGCCTGAACGACATAGTGAGACCCTGTCTCAAAACAAAAAACCCAAACCAAAAAAAACCACCCCAAAACAAAAAATCAATACCCAGGGGCCGAGGATTTAGCTCAGTGGTTCCACTGCCTGCCTCGAAAGTGCAAGGTCCCAAGTTCGATTCCTGGTACCAAAAAAAAAAAAATCCCCAGTACTGGGAGGAAAAAACAAAACTCCACAAATGATCTAGAAAGCAAGGAAACCCTTAAGGAATAATGGTAGGTTATCAAAGGACACAGGAAAACATCTTGTTAAGGATCCCTGTCACCAAATACAGGACAAGGTGAGGATCAAATTAAATAATGATAGATTATAACCTGTTGAATAAATAATCTATATTGATGAGTGCATCCATGTTGAAATAAATAACCATCCATATTGATGACTATGATATAAATAAAAAAGAGAGAAGAGAAAACTCTTTCTTAAGGTCGAAAGTCCAGTAATGAAGAGCAGAAGAAATGATGGAATCAGAACATCACCAGGCAAAAAACAAACAAACAAACAAAAAACACATCAGGCAAACTTGACTGTAATAATCATTAATTCATTTAAGAATCGGTAACAGAGGCTAATGTAGTGTGAGCAAATCTGAGAAGCAACAGGATATGTCCACGGTGTCAAATATCTCTCCACAAGATATGGATTAATGCCACAGGTAGAAATGGCGATATGAAAGGGAAACCTGTCAGACAGCACTTTAACCAAGCTATCAAAGCAAACCTCACGAGTCATGGGACAAACGGACATCATGAGCTTCCTAATGGGTGGCACTGAGGCAGGATCCACCCTCACTTCCGTGGTATTCAGCAAAACACACTGAATCTAATCATGTGGAAACATCAGATAAGCCCTGGTGGAGGGACTGTCTGCAAAGCAACTGATCTCTACTCTGAAAATATTCCATCATGAAACAGGAGCAATGACGGAGGTCCTGGTCTAGGTAAAAGGAGACCAAAGCAAATGCAGTGCCTGATCCAGAAGTTTCCTCTGATACAGGAGACATTCCTGAAGCAACTGGCAAAATCTCAATACAGTTCACAAATGAGATCATTTTTGTTCGGTGTTTATTTCCTGACTTTGACACATGTACACTGCTTATGTAAGAGAATCGTCCCTGTTTTTAGAAAATGCACACTGATATAGACTTGGGGTAAAGAGGCAGCATCTGCCATTTTCAAACTGGTCAGGAGAAAATTTTTATTTATATGCACAGAAAATGGTAGAATAAATGCGGAAAAAGATAGCACTGGGAATCTGGTTAAAGGGTATACAAGAGTTCTATCTGTCTGTCTGTCTGTCTGTCTATCATCTATTCATCCATACTGGAGATTGACTTGTATGTACTAGGTGAGCAGTCTACTGAGCTACATCACCGACTTTTTAAAATTTTTATTTCGAGACAGGAACTTGGGATCCTCCGGCCTGACCCTCCCAGGGATTACAGGTGTGTGTTGCTGCAGCTGATTACTGTGTATTGTTTCTATAACTTTTAAAATTATGTCACAAGTTTTTTTTTGTGTTTTTTTTTGTACCAGGGATTGAACTCGGGACCTTGCACTTGCGAGGCAGGCGGCGGAACCACTGAGCTAAATGTCACAAGTTTTAAAAATATAAAATGTCAGGGCTGGGGATTTAGCTCAGAGGTTCCACCGCCTGCCCTGTAAGTGCAAGGACCCAAGTTTAATCCCCAGTGCCAAAAAAAAAAAAAATCCCCTGATGATAATACCTTACTAAAAATAAAAATAAATAGTAGTAGGACATATATTAAAATGATTATATACAAAACAAGACAACTGGAATCTTGGAAGTACTCAATTTATTTATTTATTTATTGTTTTTAGGGGACAAGATCTCACTATGTTGCCAGGCCAGCCTTAAACTCTTGGGCTTAAGTGAGCCTCCTGCTTCAGCCTTCTGAGTAGCTGGATCAGCAGACATATACCATCACAACTGGCAAGTGTTATTATTTATTTTGTCTTTATGTCTCCATCTCTTCCACCTTACAGAAGGTGGATACTTGCCTAGTAAATGCCTGTTGGATTCTTTAAAGACACCCCTTATTTCTATGTACCAGGGACTATGTGGGCACTGTATCTGCATCACTGGGAACTCAGATGCCGCAAAGTATGAAGTAGCTCTGTTTTCCAGCTTTTATTATGAGAAGCTTCATAACTACAGACAAGTTGAAGAGATCGTGCAATGAACATCTAACTGCTCTCCACTTATTCAATACTTTTAAACATTTTGTAAGGCTCTCTTATGATGCTCCATTTTACAGAGGCAAACATTGGGAACAAACAGGATCAAGTCACTTCCTCGAGTTTTCTTGAGCAGAGGTTTGGACCCAGGCCATCTGACCCTGGAGGGCATCCCCCAAACAACTCATTTACATGTAATAGGTTGGGGGGACACAAAAGCAGAAGGCCCTGTGCTGGCCTTTCATAACTGACCATTTAGTGCTGCGATATTCCATGGGGTAGCTCAGTGCCTCCTGTGGCTACATTCACATGAGTGAAAATTTCCTAAAATGAAATAGAATTTAGAATTCAGCTCCTCACTCACATGTGCCACATTTCAAGGGCTGAAGTAGGTGCCTGTGGCCATGGCTGTGTGGGTGGTACAGATAGAGACATTTCCATCATTGCAGCACTGGGCTCTGGGGGACAAGATGGAGAAGAAACCTGTCACTGTGAGCCACGTGGCCGTGGTTATGAAGGTGGGCATTGGGGCCTGGTTAGAGAGTTTCCCGTGGAAGAATTTCTTGTCTTTAGTTCTGCTTTGTTTTGTTTTGTTTTGTTTTGTTTTGTTTTGTTTTGAGGCAGGGTTTCACTACATTGTTTAGGCTGGCCTTGAACTCACTATGTAGCCCAGGCTGGCCTTGAACTCAGGCAACCCTCTTGCCTCAGCTTCCTGAGTGCTGGGGTTACAGGCGTGCACCACCACACATGGCTAGTTCTATTTTGTTTTGCTTTGTTTTTTGAACTTTTCCTCTGCCCACATCCAGCTGTTATTCTTCCCTAGCCTCCACTCGCCTTTGATCTATCATCAGCACGAATTCATTGCCAGTAGGCTGTAGGCCTTGATAAATGTCATGATAAACTTCCCGGTGGGCAGAGTTACTGTTCCATCTATGCAGGAATCAAGGTCTCTCCTTGGCTTGCTTTAGAGCAGGTAAGCCACAGGAGGAAGGTGGATGTGTGGTTTGCGGTGAGACAGTCCGTGTTCATATTCTCTACTTATTTCCTGTGTGGACTGGGCAGGAGGCATCACTTCTGTGAGCCCTGGCTGTCACCTCTGTGTATCACACATGCTTCCCAGAGCAGTGATGAAGCCTGTAACAGTCCTGGCTGGGTAGAGCATGTAGTCATTGGTAGTGGCTGCTATTTCCAGTCTCTTCGCCTTCTTTTTCTCCATTTGCAGCTCCCTGGGAAATACACACACCAGTGACATTGAAACATACAGAAACAGGATCTGGGATTCAACCTGTTGAGTTAGAAATCTCCAGGGTGAGAGTTTACAGCTGTCAGATGTCGTGACTGGTTTGAGATCCAAGTGGGGGATGTGTGGATTAATGGGACTTTTTTTTCTGATGGGCAAACAGTAGGAAAAATCTGACCAAATCGCTTCAGTGCAAGGAAGCACAACCAGACGTAGTTGTTAACAACAAATCAGTACCCTTGCTTTTGTCATGTAATTAAAAGAAGATTCCAAATATCCTCGTCCTTTCTTTAGAAAGAATACTGTCTGGGTCTTTGCAAAGCAGCCTCTAGGTTGTACACTGCAATAGCAATAGCCAGGGGATGGTGGCGGGTGCCTATAGTCCCAGTACTCAGAAGCTGAGGCAGAAGGATTTCTTGGTCCAGGAGTTTGAGATCAACCTGGGCAATATAGTGAGACTTTGTCCCCGCCCCCAACGAATAAACAAACAAAAAAAGGAAAGAAAATAAATAAAAAACAAGTAAATAAATACATTCCCGTGATGATGCAAATGTCTGACAGTCAGCACTGTTTTTTTTGTTGTTGTTTTTGTACTGGGGATTGAACTCGGGAGCTTGCACTTTTCGAGGCAGGCACTGGAACCACTGAGCTAAATCCCTGTGCTAAGTCAGCACTGTTTTGTGGTAGCCATGAGCACGTGTAGATGCTGAGCTCTTGGAAAGGGAAGAATGTGATACATTGAAGGTTTTATTTCATTTAATTTTAATTAGTGTAAGGGCCACATGTGGGTTGTAGCTGCCATATTGAATAGCATAGTTCTAGATGGACAGACGGTGTGCTGGCTAAATTGGAGTGTTGGGCTCTGATAACTGGGCTCAGTGAACAAATAGTGGTTTCTGATTTGGGGGCCAACCATTGGCATTGTTTCTCCATGAACATCAGCACTGTTCTTGGTGACTAATCTGTGCTTTTCAATATTCAAATGACCATAGAAGAATCGTTCATTTTCCCATAGCCTCTGAGACAGAAGAGAAGGTATCAACACTCCCTAAGAGGTACTTTTTCTTTCTTTCTTCTCTCTCTGACAGCTGTGGCTGCCCCAAATACCTTGCAGCCATTCAGAGATCTTTGCTTTGGCTGTGACAACTTATTCAGGGGTCCATTCAAAACAACTCCAACCTTCTTTACGTCAGATTTCCCCACTGTAGTCTGTAAGGAGCTTCTTCACTTCCCGTGAGTAAGAAGAAAGTGTGGATGATCAACAGGACACTGTGGGCATGTGTGAGCCAATCCTTTTTGTCTATCTAAGACAGCCCCAGCTGGTGGTTGCCTTCAGGGCCAGCAGCCTTCAATGTTACCACCTCTTCGAACAATCAGCCCAGGCTGCTCTATTCAAGACAGAAATCATGAATAAGCAAAATAAAACCATTTGGAAGAGGCTTTATTAGGCCTTGTGCTGCAGCATAAGGGGAAGAACTACGAACACTGATCTAATAAGGGCATGAGGGAGGCTGCTTAGATAGGAGATATACCTTTCCAGGCCACATCCCATACCCTTCCAGGGAAGGGTCCCATACCATGTCCCATACCATGTCCCATACCATGTCCCATACCTCTTCCAACAAGGCTGCACCCTCCAGCAACACATTTAGCTATAAACTCATCGGTGGACTAATTCACTGATGAGTACCATGCCTGCAGGATCCAATCACCTCTCCAAAGCCACACCTATGATCCCATGAGGTTTTGGGGGAGACATCTGAAGATAAACCATAGTAGCACGCTACCATTAAGTTAAAAAGATCTCTGTGTAAATGCTTGCGTATGCCTAGAACATGTCGAGGAATACCCACAATCCAATGAATACTATCCTAGGCAAACAGGAATTGGGTGGTCATTAGATGGGGATAAGAGGAGACTTCTCTATCCTTCCTCTCTCTCGTAAGTCACATGTCTTCCCTGAACCTCAGTTTCCCTTTTTGAAAGAGAGTGTCCTTAATTGAGAGACTCTCCTTCCAAAGGAGAATATTGCAAATGCTTCTTAGAGGGGGGCCTGTAGTTCCTAGGCCTTCCGGTCTAGGACTTCACAAGGTACTCACCCCAAATTTCTGCTTCATCCAGTGATAAAGAAGCCACCTGCAAGGGTATTTCCTCCACTCTTTGGCAACCTATGGCAAGGAAGAGGACAATCTGTCTATACCTCTTCATGCCTACTCATACCCTCTCGCTTGGAAGCAACTGTGAGATTTCCCTTCAGTATTTTCAAGAATCATGAGCATTCTCTCCTGAGCCCTCTGGTGAGGGAAGGAAGTGGGCCCCCGAGGGCTCTTTCTCAGACAGCAGAGTCCACAGAGGAGCCCATTTCTGTCCTTCACATAGGGAGCTGGATTACCAGTTCGCACTCCTGTAGGAAGTTGTGACTTTGGTCACATCCTGTTACCTTTCTGTATGATTTCTAGATGCTTCTAGGATCTATTCATTTCTTCCTACCACCTGAGCCAGGCCACTCTTGTTTGCTCCCCATTTTCTCAGTGCTACCACATTCATGTCCTGTGGTGACTGTTGTGCCTGTTCACCGATGGCCCGTCCTCCTGTACTTCTGGGCAGGCCTGAAGGCCGTGTGTGACTTGCCATAGCCAAGGAAGTCTGAGCAGAAGTGACAAGTGTGGCTTCCCGGTGGAGGCATTTGAGAGTGAATGTGTACAATGCTTCAGGTTCTCTGCCCTTCTTGACATGACCTTCAACCTTCCCAATGGTGGGGATTTTTGTCAGCCAGGACCTAGAATGAGGATAATAAATATATGAACAGTTCCTGCACTGGGGGTGTAGCTTGGTGGTAGAGCACTTGCCTAGAATCTGCAAAGATCTGGGTTACACACACTTAACCCCACCCCATGTCCTTGTAGAGACTCCCTAGGATAAAGTTCAGATGTCCCATCAAGGTTCGGGAGGCCATCTAGGACCCGCCCGTTTGTCACCCTGCTGACTGCTTCATGCTTATCTTTATCCTCGTCACCCTTTCTTTATTTACATTCATGTCCAGTTGCATGGACTTGTTGGTTTACTGAGAGAATCTGCTCAATTCCAGGCTGTTGTGTGCACTGTTGTTTTGCTCCTCCCCTAGCCCCAACCTGACTGACACTCCTCCAAGACTGGGCTCAGAGGTCCCCACCCCCAATCGGGCAGGCTTTCCGATTAAAATCACCTCCCCGGTCAGGTCCCTCCCTTGGGGCTTTCCCCATAGCATTCTGATCCGTTGGGACTGTCACTGGGGAATTAACCTTTCTCTGCCACTGAACTTTGAGTTCCCTGAAGGCAGGGCGGGGGCTCTGTTGTCAGCATTACATAGCTCAGGGTTGGGCACACTGCAAGGTTTTATTACTAAAAGTTTGTTGAATGAATAATAAACGAGTTCAGGTGTTAAACAGCTGTATTCACAGGGTTTCTGAGAAGGAGGTGCTGTCTCTCTTCTTCTCCCCTCTCTGTTCCCTTTTGACAGGCTTCCTCCAGAACCAAGACTTGAGAGTTAGCATAATTCATTCCCGGACACCAGTTCTGCACTGCAGGGAAGTGGGTATGGTTTCTATGGAAAGTCCCAGAGATTCCCATGATGGCACACGCCGAGGCAGAAGGGTCAAAAGTTTGAGCCTACCCTGGGCAACTTAGTGAGAACTTGTCTCAAAATAAAAAATAAAAAAGAGCTGGGATGTAGCTCAGTGCAAGGCCCTGGGTTCATTCCCCAGTACCACAAAGTAAGAAGAAAAAAGTCTTAGAGAATTTGGGTTTTTTTGGTTCCTCTAACCAATGCAGGACAGATTTCTTGGCTGACTCAATGCCCTCCCCAACATTATTTATTTATTTATTTATTGGTATCAGGGAGCGAACTCAGGACCTTTCGCTTATGAGGCAGGCAGCGGCACCACTGAGCTAAATCCCCAGGTCCTCACCAACATTATTTTATTTTAATATTTCCCAAAACATTTTAAATGAAAAACTTCAAGCATATAGAAAAGTTGAAATAGTTTTACAGCACTCCTGTACTCATCACCTTGATTCTACCATTAGCATCTTTCCTGTCTTGTTTTAGTGTGTATCTGTCCATATTTCCATCCTTCATCCACCCATCACCTTACTTTTTCGATGCATTTCAAATCACCAACATCAGCATTCCTCCTAAACACTGCCACACGCATGCAACTAACACAAATTCTACATTCATTTAGAGCTTTAAAAAAATTTTTAATTCATAAAAAATTTTTAAAATGTACATAAAATGGGGTTCCATGTAATGTTGTGTCACATGTATACACTGTGTAATGATTTTTGGTTTTTTTGGTACCAGGGATTGAAGTCTGGACCTTGTGCTTGCAAGGCAGGCAGTGGAACCATTGAGCTAAATCCCTGGCCCTGTGTAATGTGTACATCAAGTTAAATATCTATTTCCTTAAACATTTATCATTTATTTATGGTGGAAAATTTCAAAATCCTTTCTTTTAGGTTTTTAAATTATTATTATTATTTGGTGGTGCCGAGGATGGAACCCAGGGCCTCACAGTTGCTAGGCCAGTGCTCTACCGCTGAGCCGCACCACCGGCCCTGTTCTAACTTTTTGAAATGTCCAGTATAGAATTATTATCAACAGTCTCTACAGTTCATTCTTACGCATTTAGTTGTTACTTTTTAGGTGGAATTTACATACAACCAATGCACATATCTTAAGTACATTGTTAGAGGAATTCTAACAAACGTGTAGACCTATGCCACTGAAATCTCTACTGAGAATTGATGCAGATGATTTAGCTGCTGTGGTGGCCCATGCCTGTAATCCCAGCATTCTGGAAGGCAGAGGCAGGAAGACTGCAAAATCGAGCCTAGCCTGGGGAACCTAGTGACTTAGTGAGGTTGATCTCAAAATATAAAATAAAATAAAAATTAAAAAGGCTGGATATGTAGCTCCACGTGAAGGCCCTAGGTTCAATCTCCAGTATTGAAAATAAATAAATAAATAAATAAATAACATTTTAAAAAATTGGAGCGTTACTAGCACACCAGAGCGCTTCCCTCACCTCTTCCTAGTAAACCCCTGGATTTCAGAGAGGGGTAGAGGAGACTCGGAGAATGAGTGGGATGGGAAGAAAGGCAGAGACTGGGGCCAGAGCTTGGGGGATCTCGTGGGCCAGGAGACATTTAGCAATAATGATAACAATGTATGTTGGATATTCTAGAGTTCCTTCTTCAGGTTCATCTTCACTCTTCCCTGCCAACTCTTGGAGGTGGGGTCACACCATGGGATGTCGGTCAGCATCACTAGAGGGATTTCTTGACCTCTAGCTTCCTGGTTGGTTTGACCAGTGGGGAGCAGGTGGGACTGGGGGGTGGGGCATTTACTTCTCTAGCTGCTTCCTGGAGGTGGGATGCCTTGGGTTGGCTGTATCCTTTGATAGAAGGCCACAGTTCCTTCCGGGGGATCCTTTCCACATGCCGGACCCAGGTAATGGCCACCCTGCAGCTCCCTGGGTGCCTCGATAGCCTTTGCGGTTTCCCTACCCACTGCCTCCACCCTGGTAAATAGTCTCTTTATTAAACTCTCCCCAGTTACAGCACTCAAGTTGAGTTTGCTGTTTGTTTCCTGCTGAGCCCTGGTTACGGAGAATAGTATCTGACAGCTGTTCCAAATGCTTTGCAGGAAATAACCAATTTAATCCACCTGACAACCCGTGTAGAAACAGAGGCCTGGAGAAGTTATGACACTAGCTCAGAGTTTCAGTTCCACCCAGGATTTGAACCCAGAGAGCGTCTTGACTGTTAGTCATAAGAGCAGCTGGGAGTCACTGGGGGTTTAAACCTAGAGGTCCGGTTGGTGTTTTAAACGCGCCCTCTGGTGGCTTAGAGGAGCACTGTCATCCAGCTCTGTGCACTCAGAAGTAGTACCACTCACGGCTGGCTACTACCCTGACCTTAAACTAAATCTTGCAGCAGGGACATTGACAAGGGGACTCTGCCTGGGTTTCCAGGATGTCTTCTTAGAGGAGATGACGTTGGGGTGTGGCCTTAAAAGACGTGCGGGAGCTGGGTCCAATTTGGTGTGAGTCAGGGCCCAATTGGGAAAGAACTTTGGCACTGGGACTTTGTCCTGTAACTCAAAGTAGGAGCTTGTGAACCAGCCAAGTTCAAGTTGTTAACATTTGATCTGGTCGGTATGCACTTAAAAACAACCAGTTTTATTTATTCTAATAGATTTAACTAACACCTACTACATATCAGTGAATGTTCTGGGCAGCATCTGGGTTTGTTTTATTCATGGTGTACCCTCAGGGACCAGAGTCATGGAAAGTTCCTAACAGAAGGGAGGAATGAAATTAAAGATAAATGTTGGGGCAGGAAAGAGCTATTAGGTATGAGGTTAAGGTAGGTGAGGTGGTGGATGGGTTTGGAAGTAGATGGGAACAAAGTTGAAAGTCTTCAATCCTTATATTATCATTAATTTTAAAAATAAATAATCTTTAGCTGGGTGTGGTGGTGCGTGCATGTAATCCCAGCACTCTGGAGGCTAAGGCAGGAGGATCACCATGAGTTCGAGGCCAGCCTGGGCTACATAACTAACAGTGAATTCAGGGCCAGCCAGGAATGTATTTTGAGGTCTTGTTTCAAACAACAACAACAACAACAACTACTACTACTCATCTTTTTTTTGGTACCAGGGAATCGACCTTGGGTCTTTGCGCTTGCACAGCAGGTGGCGAAACCACTGAACTAAATCCCCAGCCCCAACAACTCATCTTTAAAAGTGGTTGTGTCTTATATTCTGGGGATTTGGGGAATCATATCACAGAAATACCCAATTTTGGAAAAAACTATGCCAATATTAATGTATCAGGAGACAAACCTTTTGTGCCTTTTCAGATCCTCTTGGCCATCTCCTTCAGTCAGAAAATGAGAGAGAAGAGAAACAACTTCTGCAAAGCCCTAGCTAGTGAACTATCAAGTCAGGATCTGCATCCTGACCCAAGGTCTAAATCACTTTCCTCCATTGTTAGAGCGACCTTTTCCTAGACTTTTATAATTTTTCTAAACCTGTGCTTGTCTCTTTTCAGGAGGAGGGGGGATCTCCAAAGAAAGAGTGCATTTAGAAATAGTAGGGTAGTAGAGAGCTGGGCATGGTGGAACCTGCCTGTAATCTCACTACTCTGGGAGGCTGAGGCAGGAAGACTGCAAGTTCAAACCCAGCCTGGGAAACTTAGCTAGACTCTGTCTCAAAATAAAAAATAAAAAGTGCTAGGGATGTAGTTTAGTGTGAAAGACCTGAGTTTAATCCTCAGAATCACCAAAACAAAATACACAAAAAAGCAGGGGATTGCAATCTGGGATATGTGTGCTATGGTGAACCATAGGCATATTCAAAATTGATGCAAGGGGAAGCTTTTAAAAGAAAAAAGAAGTTCACATAAGCAGCCTGGAAGGAAGGGCCACTATTTGCAGGGCATATTGCAGATGTTGGTGTTAGCTTGCTGTTGGGAATACCTGGCTGTAGGCAGGCATCCTTGTGTTGCTAGGCTTGTCTGGAATATAGGCTGTTGCCAGGGAAGGTCCTCATGGAAGTGACTCATCTGGAATTTTCATGGTTTTAGGGTCTTTTGATGTTCTTAACATAGGTAGATGTGCATGAATTTCTTTGTAATAAGTCCTGCTATAGGTATATGTGTGTGAGGGCTCCTTTTTGATGGCCTCTTGAATTTTTGTTAGGACTCACTTACGTGACTCCATTTAGATACTGATAACTTCTACATGTCAGAATTACTATTACCCATTTTATAGATGAGAAATCTAAGGTGCAGGGTGGTTAAGTCACTCATCTGATGAAAAGGGAGAGACAGGCTTCAAATTGAAGTAGTCTGGCTTCAGGTTCCAACTAGGGAGCTACGGGATTTCTGTGTCAGTTAGCTACTGCTGTGTAACAAACCATCCCATCACTCATTTATTTGGGGCAGGAGTTTGAGGGTAGGCTTGGCTGGATGATTTGGACTCAGCTGTGCTTGCTCATTTGTCTAGGGGTCAGCTGGTAGCTAATGTAGGTGAGTCTTGGCTGTGGTGACTGGGACAGCATTCATCATGCCCCACATGACTCTCATCTCCCAATAAGCTTGCCTGGGCTTGTTCTCCTGGAGGTGGAAAAGAACAAGTAGAAATTTGCAAGGCTTCTCAATTGAGGCCCAGATTTGAAACTGTCCCTTCTATCTTATTCTTTCCTGGCCATACCCAGAATCATGTAATTACAAAACTACATGGTGAAGGACATGGACACAGGGAGGAGTGGAAAACTGGGGCCAGCAGGACCATGAACCATAGTTCCCATCAGCTCCTTGGGCTTCTTGGGCTCTGCTTCCAGCACAAGAGTCAGGAGCCATGGTCTTGCATGCTGGAAGTGGAACTGTGGGATTTAATATTTACCTTGCTGGATTTTGGACTTGCTTTGGTCCTATTCCTTTGTATCCGTTTGTAACTTTTGGAATGAAAGTGTTTATCTTGTGCCATTGAATGTTGGAAGTGTTTAACTTTCTTTTCACTTGTACAGGGGCTCACAGCTGAGTTTGCCTTAAATCTCAGAAGAGACTTTGGACTTGGGCTTTTCAGCAAGGCTGAAACTGGTAGGACTTTGGCAACTCTTAGAGGTGGACTAAAGGCTTTCTATGAGGCAGGCGGTGGCACCACTGAGCTAATTCCTGGCCCTAAATGCTTTTTACATAAAGGAATGTACATGCGTCTTTGGGGCCCTGGAGCGGAATGTTATAGTTTGGGTCTGGAGGTCCCCTCAAAGCCTCATTCTTGGTCGGAGGTAGCTGAATCTGGAATGTGTGATGCTGAGATTAAGGGCATGTGCTCTAAACCAGTACATGTGAGTGAGTGATTTAGCACCACCCTAATCCCGGTAGTCTGGATGGGATAAAAGAGGCAGGAAGACAAGGTGAAGCTCCCTTGATGCCTTTGCTACTTCGTGCGCGCCATGTTGTTTCTCCCCGGGGATGCCTGCCTGCCATCCTCCCTGTCTTGGAGCCAGCTGATTATGGACTGAAACCTCTACAAACTTTAAGCCAAATAAACCCCTTCCCTTTCAAAAAAAAAGTCAGGGGCCATGGGTCAGTATCCTGGAGGATTCCCAGGAAGGACACTCAGGTTGAGGATGGACAGGGCTGGTTTTCAGAAGGGAACTAAGTCAGAGAAGGTGGCTCAGCAAAGACGCTGTCCTGTCTGCATTTCTTGTTTGGGTGTGGCTGTCCAGAGGAAGCTGGAGGATGCTTTGAAGGAATTCACGTTTGTTGGTTGATGAGGAGTGAATGCTTTGACATTAATTGATCTTACAGCATTACCTGTTTTGTATTTTTTAAAAATTATTTATTTGTTTTCCAATTATATATCTATCTTTTTATGTTTTTCGTAATTTTTGCCTTTAGGTCAATTAAACATTGGCTTGTGAATAAAGATGCAGATGAGAGTTTCATGTATCCTGTTCTCTTTTGAGCTCATATCAAAAATCTTTTCTCATAGTTCTTGTACAGACTTTAGGACTCACAAACCTGGATCCCAGCCTGGTTCCATGGACCAATGTGCAGAAGCCACTGAAACATCACAGCAGCTCTGTGAAGCCAGGGCTATGATTATCTCCATTTTATAAGCAAGGAGAATTTAGTGGTTTCCATAAGCCAGTTTCCCAGGACATTGGCTGCTTATAAAAATAATCACACCACATGGTTTGTTGAACTTCCCTAACTAGAGGGAATTGGCTGGACTGCCTGTCACCAACAGATTAGAGACAGCTGTGTTGGCACAGGGGGCTGAGGGAAGAATTCACATACTCCCATCTCTAGCACCACAGGCCGCAGAACCGAGGGACAAGGCTGGTCTACAGCTGTCATTCTTACATTGAATTTGGGTGTGCGTTTCCTCAGTTGCTGGTCTCCTGGAGGGACCTCCCCACTTTCAGGACTTTGAGAGGGTCAGTTTGTAACAACATCAATGATTTTATAGCCACTCTGGCAAATCCAGAATGTCAGCCCTCTTTCTTTCAATCTTCCCTCTAAATTGTCACTGAGGACCTCAGGATTGTTCCCTGATGGAAGCCATATTTAGAGGACTTCTGCCTCAAGATGCTTTGGATTGTTACTTAATTTCCTCTGTATTTTACCAATCAGAACTCCATTTTTCTGGTCTTTGGTCCCTGAGCAGTGGGAGAGACTGGTATTTTCCAGCCACTTGGTAATATTATTCTGGTCCAGAACAAAGACCCTGAAGCAAGTGTTGGGTTTTTGCAATACTGAGGTTACTCTGGTTCTCACCCTCAGTGCCCATCACTGCATGCCTATGGGCATCCCCAGCACTGACCACTGGACCCGGGACAAATGTCCTATCACCCATCTTGGAGACAGAAAGGTCATTATCAGCCTCAGGTCCCACGCCCTGGCATGGTGAGGCAGGAGTTTAGGGCATGGCAAGCCAGCTGGACAGTCAGGCAGAACCTGTCAATCACTGAGACCTTTGAAACTGGCTAGGATGCATACACAGGGCAGCTCTGGAGCCCTGTGTAGTACGGCCTGGATTTGACATCAAAAGAAGATATAAAACATGGTGGCCATTGACTTTGCATCCACTGTCCTCTTGTTCATGCAGCGCCTCACCTTGCATGTAGGGTATATCTTATCTTCAGAGCACGTGAGCACTTCTTTTTGCATTCCTTTTTCACTTCGTTTTCTTTTACCTTAAATAAACGCTGAACATTTATGTTCATTGGTTTTCCCGTATAATTCTTTTGAGTGGGACAACAAGAGTCTAGAAAGAATTACTGGGCATCTCACTGTCTCATAAGTTTTGGCAAGCCAGCCAAGGGGTAATGAGCAGAGCCAGGAGGTAAGAATTGATGGGGAGCGAAGCAGGGACAGGGTGAATTTAATGGTGCAGCCCCCTGTGGCTACTTGGCTGAGGCCCCACCACAGAGCCAAGATGAGCGAGTGTTTCTGCCAGTGCCTCACACAGGGATGGGGAACACACCCTTGACACATTGGCCAGGGAGCACCTGGTGGACGCACATGGCAGGGCCAGCCAAAGGGGTTGGGAACTGGGAGTGTCTGAGCTGAACGAGGGGCAAGCAACCCACACCCACCCACACACTCAAGATAGACTGCACTAGCTGGGGGGGCAGTACTCATGAAAGGTGACCCCTTAAAGCTTGGTCCACATGGCAGCCTGTGAAGCCCACTTGCCCTGACCACCTGCTGCTAGGACCGGCAGAGGCACAGAAGTCAGAGCCAGTGTGTGCAGATGGACTTCGAGGGTAGGAGGCTTCCGCAGCCCTGAGGATCCCTCACTCCCACGGCCTGGCCCTAGGTGTTCCCGCCCTTCCACCTGGGATGCCCTATGTTCAGCAGGTGGAGGGCCTCACAGGTGGCCTGCATGGCCCAGGCCCAGGAGGCCGTTAGTGCAGCTGGGCAGGAACCAAGCCGCTTCCTGCTCATTCTTGCCAATTCTCTCCCTGGGGGAGCAGGCCAGAGAGGCCACCCCATTACTTGACCAGCGGGGAACTGAGCAGGGCTGGGGAAGTGGATGTCTTCCCTGCCTGCCTCTGGGTTCCCACCACCACTGCTGCGGGCCAAGGTCTGGGTACCTAAGCGCAGCCGGAGCAGTGCCGCAGCTTCTGCCAGTACCGCGGCGCCCCTCCTTCCCCCTTGCTCCGCTACTCACCTCGCCGGCCCCACGTGGCTCCTGCTCCACGCCACGCTGTGCCAGGTGCCTCCCATCTGCTTGCTGAGACGAGCCCAGCTGGGCACCCTTGGCGCCCTGCTGCTCCCATCTTCTCCTGTGTTCGCGGCTTCCTGCGGTGTTGGCCCAGGACTGCAGCAAGAGGGCTCTACAGCTTTCTGCCGGCTCTCCCTTCCTTTGACCAGTAGGGGGAGGTGTTACCTTTCAAATAATTCACTTCTCAAAACACCATCCAGTTCTTGCACTTCAAGCAGTGTAAGAGATGAATAGGAGATGTCGCTGTTCTTCCTTGTCTGGAAAAAGTGTAAGTAGATAGTTTGTTGGTACCGTAAATAGTTCATGCAGCTTTTATTTAAATATGAAGTCACATCTTCAAAATATATAAAAGGTAGGATTTAAAAATGTTCCTATGTTAACCTGACGTACAGTGCCAGGTCTACAATTCTGGAACATAAGCTCCCGTGTTTGACATTAGATGATCTGCAGACTACTCTTCTGCATCGGGCCCTTTCCAAGTTACTTTATCTATTTATGTAGACTTAGAAAGAATTTGTGAAGAAAGCATAGTCTTACATTTAAGAATATTGTTCCTGGGTGTGGGGTATGGTGGCTCATGTCCTTAATCCCAGTACTTGGAAGGCTGAGACAGGAGGATTGCTGCAAGTTCGAGGTCAGCATGGGCTACACAGTGACTTCAAAGGCAGCATGAACTACAGACCAAGACCCTACCTCCAAAAACAAAAGAAAAACCAAAACAAAGAATGCTGTCTCTATGTATTCTTGCCTCAGTTTCCTTATTTGTAAAATAGACTTCATATCTCCCTACCACTTCATGAGTTTGTTGTGGCAATCAAGAGCAACATTGTGTTGGCTGGAAAAAGTGTAGGTTGTTGTAGTTTGGATAATAACAGTTGAAATATTTAGCTATGTGGAAACTTAGAGTTTTTACTATTTTTATAATTTTGAACCCATCGTTGATATTTTATAGTCAATATTTTGTTTGTTTGTTTGTTTTGGTACCAGGGATCAAACTCGGGTCCTTGCGCTTGCACAGCAGGCAGCGAAACCACTGAGCTAAATTCCTGGCCCTGTAGCCAATATTTTGAAGAAAAAGTCTTTGTATAGATAGCTTAGTCTTGTGTTTGATATGGGTGGGAGTGACTAAAAACACAGAATTACTTATAAAAAAGTGGTTGATTGTGGTGGCATACCACCCAACTGAGCCAATATGAGCATTATATGAAAGTCAATATCATATAAATAATACATCAGTGTGCTAACCCAAGTGAAGGGCTGTCTCTCTGGATCTTTGATTGTCAGACTTTGCTGTGCTTAGGAAATCACCCAGACAATTTGTTAGAGAATTTGACTCTGACCACATCCCCAGAGAAAATGATTTATTAAGTCTGAGAATCTACAGTCCAATTCTCCCAGGTCATTAGAATGTAACTGGTTCTTCAACCATCTTTTGAGAAACATAGGTCCTAGATAAAAGATCACAAGAGAAATGGAGCATATTTAAGTTTTTATATTTAACATCTGCTAGGAATAAAAAGCCAGAAAGAGGAGATGACATGGATGCTGCATTAAGCACCATTCTCTGTGCTTTAACCTTTGGCCCCCACTTCTTTGGTTTGTCTACCTAGAGTGTATGTTTCTCCCAAACCCAATAAACTTAGTAACATTCTAGAAGAAAGGTTTTTTCTTTTCTCTTTTTCTCTGTGGTAGTTGCTTCCGGAAAAAGTTAAACAACAGGCCTTCTGGTTATACTGCCAAGAGACCCCTCTGATCGCTGCCTTGTCAACTGATATGTGGTACAGGAAGTATATGTAGTAGAGGAAAGGCAGCCAGAGCCAGACAGCTCTCCTAAGAGCTGGCAGCTGTGTTACTGTCTGATCACATCTTCTTGTTCAGAGCGGAGATCTTTACAGAGACTGGCTCAGGAGATTGCATCAATGTGTTTCTTTCTGTTCAGAGGCTTGTTTTTACATTATGATCATTTATTAGAATAAAGAAGAGGAATGTAAAGATTGTATAAGTTCTGAGTAGAGGCCCTGTGCTTAGAACCCACTAGGCTTTATAGTAAGTAGAGAAGAAATCTAAATGATAATAGCAGAGACTCTTCACCTCTGCAGCTTTGTACATTCCTGTATTTTAAGAGCACCTGGAATGTTTACTCTGTCATTGTCAGGATCTTCTAGGGTAGGGTCTGATGCATAGTGACCTTTATCAAATCTGTAAGGAAACAGTTACTAAATAATTCTTGATAAATGCTTGGTCATTTTCTTACCCACTGTATTTTCAGAATGTCCTTGTCTTGCTTTGTTTATGAAAATTTTTATTGAGAAGGTGACTCAGAAGTGTCTATATGCTTTCATTGGTTAGTGAAACTAATGAAGAAACATCTGGTAAAGTCTGGAACTTCTTGGAGATTACTTCAGTGGTTTTGATCAGAACTTCTTTTATCAGAATATTGATGGGAAGGTGGACAGTAGAGGCCAATCTGAGAGGAACAAGGGGTAAAGTTCATCCTTGTCACATTGTAGCAATAAACCTGAACTAACTGTATTCATCCCCAAGGTCTCTGTGGAAGGCAGAATTTAAGAGTGACAAACTGGGGCCAGGGATTTAGCTCAGTGGTTCTGCAGCCTGCTGTGGAAGCACAAGGACCCAAGTTCGATCCCCGGTAACACAAAAAAAAAAAAAAAAGAAAAAAAGAAAGAAACAGTGACAAACTGGGATATCCGGCAGAAGAAATTTTTAAAGCATTACTGCCCAACTACTTCTAATTGCTTATAGAGAGATGCTAAAGGAAGAAATGACTTAAAGATGGAATGTAAAGGCAAGCAGGGCAAAGAATTAGAAAACACATAGCTTAGTCATGTGGAAAGAGCGGAAAGTAGCTTGGGGAGAGCAAACCAGCAATGTGGGCTGGAGACTCTTTGTTAAAGAGATTTGTCTGGGCAGAATGAAGCCAGAGGATATTCCTCAAGGCAGTGGGAGAAAGACCTACTGGAATCTCAGAGGTCATCCAGGCTGCCCCTCTGTCACAGGCCCAGAGCTCTAGGAAGGCAGAGTAGTTTGGGGGAGCCAGGCCTGGGACACCCTCCGTGGGATCACTTCCCAGAGTTTCCTGAGGTCTCTGGTCTGGCCCAGTGCTCCTCATCCATTCTGGTGTCAATCAAGCAGCCCGACCTGCGGCCCCACCTGCAGCTCTACCTGCTGCTCTGGAAGCATCCAGGTGGTGCCAGTTCTGCAGGTTCACAGAAAGCAAGGGCTGTGGGAGGCAAGGCAGCCTCCAAGTAGATTTTAAAGTGTCACCAGACAGAAGGAGCCTGAGGAGGTACCCTGAAGTCAAGATGGGAACTGAAACTCCCTTGCCCCCCACATGGAGTAGGTTTGTTGACTCTCATCACAGAAAAGCATTTTAGAACATGTCAGCGAGAGCCACAGGCAGATTTAGTAAGCAGAATCAAAGAAGTACACAGAAATGCAGATGTTCGAGAACAAAGTATGCTGTAGTCTGGGGTTGGGAATATGCATGTGTTCTTACAGGAGGTATCCTTTAAGATGGGTAACCTAAGATGTTTTGTTCAACATTCTTTGATCTTTTTTTCTTTTTTGAGACAGGGTCTCACTGTGTAGTTTATTCTGACCTTGAACTCACTATGTAGCCCAGGCTGGCCTCAAACTCACAGTGATCCTCTTGCCTCAGCCTCCTGAGTGGTGGGATTACAGGAATGGGCTGCCATGCCCGGCATCATTCTTTGAATTTTTAAATCTGTTTCTTCATCTTAAGGCCAGGTTTCTGCCCTTTACCTTATCAACTAGGTTACTTTATGGACTTACAGTATCTTTTTTTTTTTTTTTTTTTTGGTACCAGAGATCAAACTCGGGACCTTGGCGCTTGCAAGGCAGGCGCCAGAACCACTGAGCTAAATCCCGGGCCCAGACTTACAGTATCTTTAAGGGCTTTGAGGGTGATGGGGCTGGAAAGAAAAAGCCAGCCAGCCAAGGGAGTACAAACAAGCCTAGAGAGTAAGGATACAGAGTATAGATATGGGAAACCTCGGGTAACTTTGATCAGGCCTTAGAACTCTTGTTTCCTTGTCTCCTTTCTGCCTATCTTCATTTCTCTCCCTGTGGGTCCAGGAGAAATTGTTGCTAGAGCAGGTGGGACAGAGAGCCCTCCCTTGGGTAATATGTCATGAAACTGTGGAGTTGAAGCTGTCACAGAGAGTTTTACTGTGGCGATGCCTACAGGAGCCATGGGAGGGGGACCACACTGAGACTCCAGAATGGTGGAGCTACCAGCACACAACGCCAACCCAGAAAAGCCGAGCATAGGCTGAGTCCAGCAGAGCCACAAGGTTGGGGCAGTGTCTCCATGGGGTGGCACAAGACTAAAGACCATTCTGGAGTCTTGAGTCTTAGTGTTGTTTTCCTTGTTGGGCTTTGGACTTATGTACGATCAACAGCCCCTTCTTCCTGTTGCTCCCTGTTTGAGTGGGAATGTCTGTCCTGCTATCGTATTCCATGGGTAGGTAACTTGTTTCCTGTCTCAGGCTCACAGTGGGAAGGAATCTGCCATGCCTGGAGTCTCACCCATATCTGCTTTACATGAGACTTTGAACTCTGGAGTCCATACTGGAGCTTGTTAAGTCTTGGTCCATTGGGATGAAATTAATGTACTCTGCATGTGAGAAAGATAGGAATTTTAGGAGTCAGGGAAGAATGCTATGGTCTGAATGTTGTTGTTAGTTAGCTTGCTTTCCTATAACAAATACCTGATAACCAACTTATAAAGAAAAAAGGCTTACTTTGGCTCACAGTTTTGAGATTTTATCCATGACCTGTTGGCACTATTGGATTTGGGGCCTATGGTGGAGCAGTACAACATAGTGGAAGCACGTAGTGGAACAAAACAGCTAATCTCATGGCTGCGATTCGAAAGAGAAAAAGAGAAAGGGTTGCAGTCCCAGTATTCCCATCCAGGAAGACCAGAAGCCCTACACTAGGCCTCCCCACTTAAAAATTTTCCACAGCCTCCTACTA